ACAGAAGTGCTGCCCACTACGCCACTGTGCTGCCCTATCAAAAATAGGAAGTCACAGTAAAGCTGGACATACACGGTGTGAATTTCAGCCAGTTCTTGAAGAAACGGTTGAAATTTGCTTGGTGGCTGGCCCTGTTGGCACTCTTCTGACCGACCTACGTCAATCAGAAAATCACAGGAGCTGGTTGGAAAATCTTTGAGCAAACACTGACGACAGCCAATCAGCTGCCTTCACTGTTTGGGTATTGTGACAGCAGCACACCCGCCACTGTAAGAACACAATAGCCCAGCAGGAGTATTGTCCATCTACAATGTTTAGCATGGATGGAGGAATCTCTTGTTTTTTCCAGCCCGCAGTTTGAACAAAAACATATAAAAGTGTATGGCCAGCTTTAGTTATGGCCATTACATAGATTATCAATAAGAAATTCCAGTGCACTAACTTTCCCTGTGTCGGACACCTCATCCCAATTATGTAAATTAGCCATTATGACAGAAAGTTTGCATGAGTTATAATGGCTCTCTTTGTACAAAATGCTTGGAAAATGTTCTGCAAGAAAATCTCTTGTACTGTATCTTCTTATCTGTTAGTAATATGACATCTTAATGTAAACATTTAATAAAAAGGTAGTAATCTAGAATGAGCTATACAGCTGTTAGACATAGGCTGGATAATATAGCTTTATTTACATGCTGTCTTTTCAGGCATTGTTATAGGAGGCATACTTTGAAAAGTCTGCATGTCATGAAACCATATAAAATGTAGGGGGGGGGGGAATTACCGGGGACCTGGCTATAAAGATTTCATGCTTACTTCTGTAATATACTTCATTTTAAGCTCAGTATGTTTTCAGTTCAGTATGAGTCTACCAGTGTACAGACAGAAAGTCAGACAAGTCAGTCAAAGCGCTTCCTTAATTGCTTATAGTAAATTGTGTATTTCTGTTAAAACAAAAAAGTTAAATAAAAAAATAAATCCAGGATTGTTTTTTAAAGTATGTCTAAAGTGTTTAAAGTGTGTATTTTCATGTAAAAACAAATTTAAAAAAAGGTGTAAATGTAACACCAAGTGTGCACTGAATGCTAAACCATGCAATATATTGAGAGTAGGGACATTTTATCTTTCTAGAATAGCAAGCATGAGTCAGGAGGAAAAGACACAGTGGCTTTGGGTGCTTGGTAAAAGTAATGAAGATTGACCGGCTCAAGTGGTGATGGAACTGAACTTTCAATGGTACTCATCTAGGAGAAACATACATGGGAGGTCAATTGGCAGCATGTAAAGTGTATTTCCACTTTTTGCACTCAAATTTGAAATCTGCTAGCACAGTACAGACAGGGTTAACAAGAGTTAACAAGGGAGGAGCTAGGTAGGATTTCTAAGCAAGTAAAAAGAACCAGAAAATGTAAGCAGCATTTTTTTTAATGATAGGCAATGTGAACGGGAACATGTAACAAATTTAAAGTAGGTGTTATCTCAATCTGCCTGCAAAAGTGAAAGTATATTTCAATGGGGACATTTCAGCAACTTTTCAAGTCTGCCTAAATAAACTCCAGATATATCGCAATATCCAGCAACAGAATCATTTTCCAAAAGCCATATGATAGTAAATATTTACAATCAACCCAGTCTAGAATGAACAGGAGGCCTCTGTACTGAACTGCTTCCAGTTCATTCATAGTGAACAGATAGTAAATATTTACTATGTCCACAATCGTGAATGAACAGGAAGTGATGTATAGCACTTCCTGTTTATTCATAACGGGGGCATAGTAATCACTATGTACTCAGTTATTTACAAACGCTGACCAATCAGTACTGGTTGCTCAGTGTTTGAGCTCCGCTCTCCATCCTGACTGATCCGACCCCTTCAAGCTGTCACTGTAGCCGAGCTCTCCTCCCTGCACCGCTCCACTCAGCCCCCGACAAGTCTTCTTCCCCTGCACTGCCCCACTCGGTCTCCTGACAGCCTCTCTCCTCCCTGTTGGGCGCAGGCAGAACTGGATCGGCTGTGTCCCCTCTAATCCCTGCTGACACAGGTGGGGGGACGCAGCATTGGAGGGGACGCAGAGAGAAGCTTGTAGCTGGCACCCCGCGGGGAGGAGAGAAGCAACGCATTTTTGGCCTTTTTTTGCAAAAATCAGCATTTTGCCCATAGTACCATTTTTGGCTGAAATAATTAGGCGGCAGAAATTTCGGTGCATCACTAATGAGTACAGTACCCTGTCACACAGTTAAAGTGACAGTCTTCTCTGTGTTGTATTGTTTGTATTAGGTGAGAGTGATGATCAGTATACAGAACAGCAAGCTAGGAATTGTATTGGTTGTAGGTATTAAGGCTTAATACCTACAACCAATACAATTCCTTGTTACATTTTCTAAAATAAGGAAGAAAAAAAAAATCACACCTGCAGGGAACAGCTAAAATAAAAGCTAAAAAACCTTTAATGCAGTTTTCACCAAATGGATTTTGTAAATCATAATACATTTGGCCTTGGATTCTATATAATCAATAAAAGATTCAAGTTCAATCTCCCTCAATTCTGTATAGTTTCACTTTGGATACAGATTGACCAAAAGTCAAATGAGCTTAAGAGATTTTTAAAATATATTATTCTGGCTCTTGAAAGATTCAAGTCGTTTCAAACATTTAACTATTTTTGGCCAAAAAAAGGTAAAGAAAGACTAAAAAATTCATAAGATCTGTTTCACAAATTACCAGCTCAACCAGAAGAGCATATAATAAAAATGACAAAAGATTTGTTCTTATAGCTGATAAAAAATTGATGCCAAAGCATTCAAGTAAAGTTACTTTCTGTGTTCTGATTTAATGAATCATTTGAGCAGTATCTGACAGAGTGACACAGATGTAGGGCTCGTTGAAGCCTGCGCTAATACCTACTAGTACAGCCTTTCTTGGGACAGTGAATATAGAACAATGTGTCAGACTGAAGCAATATCAAAATATATTAAGTGTAGTGCCAGGGAGGCTACAATGTTGGTCCACAACGTTCCTTGACCTGTGAATGTCTCGTAAGTACTTTCCTGCCCTAGAGGCTCAAATGACTCATCAAACCCACAACAAGAGGAAAAGCAGCAGTTACATTTACAGAAAATTACTGTAATTCCAGATATGTATCTTGTTTGTGGAATTTTGGGAAGATCCTATTTTTAATTCACTGATTGAAATATTCTTGGAAAAACAAACATTTTAAATGTACACTATAAACGGCAAATAACATTTCATACACTGTCTACCTAATGTTTCTCAATTCTTGTTCTCAGACAAAATATATAAAAAGTTACCTTCTGCATAGAGATAAAATGTACCGTTGATAAATATTAATTATCTTAATAAACTGTAAGTTATGCTTTGTAATCATTATATCATTATGTACACTACACTTTCAATTGAGAACATGGACATTTATTAAAGCATAACGAAACACAAACATAAAATGTAATATATTGCAGCTTACCAGAACTTAGCTGTGGTGGCTGCATTAGTTTTATTTTCTTTTTTAATTCATTCTTTTTGATTGATTTTTCAAAGCATAGTACAATACAAATGGCACTTCTTATCCAGTTCAGTTAGTACAAAGCAGTATCGTTGAGTCAGAGTACCATGTAAAACAAAAACACCAACAGGGGGAAGACATCGACTCGCATAGAGAAAAGGAAAGGGGGGGGGGGAGAGACAAGACCTTGCTCTAGGTCCATAGGTACAGTTGCATAGCCATCAAAGACATTCGTTATTTACATTCTCAATCCTAGATATCTCTTGTAAAGAGTAGAGTAAGAATCATTGGCCGTATGCATTAATTCCTCCAATAATCTATTCAACTTTGCAAAACCAATCCTGCATGGAGGGCACTTGGGCGGATCTCCAATATCTTGGTATGAGAGATTTGGCCGTGTTCAATAGGAAAGGGACTATCGATTTCTTGTACGATCGTGGTGAGTCTGTTGTGAGGTGGAACAAACACACCCAGGGGTCTAGTGGGAGTTGTTCGCCACATATGTGTTGAATGACCTGTGACCAATATGGTTTTATTAGTGGGCAAATGTGGGCAAAGGAACCTGGATTCCCACAGTTTTCTTTTCTTAAGGCCTTTTTCCTCTTTATTTTCACCTGGTAATCCTGCAAATAGCACACTTCCTGTCCCTTCCTGTCTTCTCTCATTTCTCCATTGTACTTACTGGGAAGCCATGGTTGTCAGAAAGACTGGACTTCAAACATGCCTGCCTTTGTTGATCTTCATCACATGATGGATTTATGGTGCTAGTAGTTTACATAAGAAAGTACGTTTGCGGTTTTTTTCAGCTTCCAGGAAGTGACAAGGACACTGAATTTCTGATTAACAAGTATCTTCTATACTTGCTGGAAAGTTGAAAACAAATGCAGCCATCACATCCAAGGAGCGGCAAGCTGCAATCTACTACATTTTTGTTCTGGGGTTTAGACACACTTTAAGCCACTGCAAAGCACATGAACAAAGTGCAAAGGTGTTACATTCTAGCAACAAATAGGATTTCAGCTTCCTATAGTCTGTATAATGAAAGATGATATGTTAACATATGTAACCGCCAGTACTGTGCAAAACAACAGAGCCCCCAATTAGCTCAGAGTTCTGACCCTCCTTCTCCCTGTCTGAATGCGGTCGGGGCAAGTTACAAGAAGCTGATATGAAGTCAGAATTGGATACTTAGGCTAGTTATATGTGGAATTTTTTTTTTTTTAAATACAAAGTTGGATTCAATTACGTGGTTATGTTTATTAGCTGCTTGGAGTTTAGTTTTTAACTTTAGCTGACTTATAATTGTAAAACAAGGTTACCTGCAGAATGACATAAGTTAGAAATTATTTAACGCATCACCTTTAACTGCATTACACCCATAATCTGTGTGTGTATAGATACATTTTTTCTTTATACTTTTGATAAACTGGCAGTCTGGTTTTCTTTAAGAATGTTTAATACAGTAGGAAGGAAAATACTCACGCAGACAGAAGAACAATGGCAATGATAGACCATTCTGGAGTAGTGTGATTGATGTTTTTGTTTGAAAATCTGAAATACAGAAAAAAAAAAATAGAAATATTGTCAACAACTATTTTTATAATATTAGATAATAGGGCTGGTAATGATGAAAATTTTCGTGTTCGATTAATTGAAATTTTTTTAATCGATTAAATTAATTATAGCGCACATACAGATCCAACTACATTGGCCTATACACATACAGCACAGCAATGAAGTAATAAATGCGTCCCGTCGGCGATGCAGTGAAGTCACAGACATCAATGTCACCGGGCTCCTCCCCCCTTCCCTTCGTTAGCCAACGAAGCCACTTGGAGGAGGAGTACGGTGACGTCGATGTCTGTGACTTCACTGCATCGCCGACGGGACTCCCAGAAGCCGGCGGAGAGGTGAGTGTTTTCATTAGCGATCAAAATAATGTTAATCGATCAAAAAGTTTAACGATTAATCGAGAAATTAATCTTTAATTTCCACAGCCCTATTAGATAATTTAAATTAGATATTGCATGGATCACGTATAAAAATATACAAATTCCAACAAATATAAAAAGTCCCCAGCATCCACAATACCAGTATACACCCTTACAAATGCTTTGCAGTTATGTATATGTAAATGGCACACACGGATACAAGTTGAACAAGGATCAGGGGAAGGTACGCAGAGAACCAGAGAGCAGGAAGTCCAGCAGAAGAGTACATAGGTTTCATAATAAAGCATGTGGATTGCCGAATAACAGAAAGAAAAAACTGGGGGAGGAAGACTGAGGAGGAGTGCATCGAGAGCCAAGGAGCAGAAGTATTAGGGGAAGGAGTCCATGGAAGACCAATGGTGTAGGAGGACTGGAGGAAGAAGCACACACGTGCCTATTTATAAATGTCTTTACACAATTTTCACAAAGGATTTCCACATTTCCCCAATGGCATCCAATTAGAAAAATGTATGAATCTTGGGTGAAGGATGTGTGAATCTTCTGTGAAAACATTTATAAATAGACGCCATGGAGTCTACTTATAGACTCCATAAACAACAGCGACAAATAAACAAAAGGGATCAGGGAGCCTTCAGCCAATTGTTCTGCATTGCCAACTCTCTACCTGTAATTAAGAAAGCAATAATGTTGTGAATTATGTGACTAGCAGACCAGGACCTTGTACAACTTCCATCTCAGTCTACGGCCCCAATCACACGTAGCGATATATCGCGCGATTTCCACCGCGATATCACGCATTTTTGCCACGCGATATCGCGAGAAGTCGCCGGCTAATGATATTCAATGGAGCTGTCTTAGCTCCATGTCGCTCGTCGCGGTCGCAAGTTGCTTCTACAGGACCCTTTTTTCGGCGGATTTTGCTTTTTTCTAATGGAGCCCGACGGAGAAGGTTGCGCTACCGTCGCTGGAACGTCGCTCCGAAAGTCACGCTATCCCGGCCGCTGCAAAAGGTATGTCGCTACGTGTGAATGGGGCCTACAGGTTCTGTGATGAACTGCACAACGCATTTAACCTCAGCTGGCAACACCACTTTTGCAATTTTCAACCTTTTTTTTTCTATTAGCAACTGCAGCTTTTAGAGTTTGTAAAAGACCCCCCAAACCATATATTTTCTGAAAGAGCAGGCCCGGTAGAATAAAAAGATGCTACTACTAAATTTGTGGGTCCTGTGATAATTGCACAAATGTTTGTCAAATCAATAATAAACCGATAAAAATACACAATGAAATGGATAAAACACTAAAATTGGTATCAGTGCACAGAAAAAAAATACTGTTCCCGACTAAATCTAAAAGATAAAACTGTATTCAGTTAATAAATAACAAATACTAGTAAATTGCACCTTTTTGCGAAATGGTAAAAAATGGAAGTAACACAAAACTGTAAATCCGCGACTTATGTTAAAAATCGTTTGTGCACTGTGTTAGTGTGTGTGTTGTCATAAACTGATACAGGCGTACATTTAATCGCTACACTGCGTATCACAACACATGGCAATGCGTCACAACACTTTGCCATGCACTGCCACACAAGTAAATTAATGTTATTTTAAAAAGATTTAAAATATATATATATTTTTTTTAAATTAAGAATTGTGATGCATTTTAACAACGCACCACAGTGCATGTGCATGGCGTACACCACAATATGGTGCGCATGTATGTTATCTCTGTGTGTAGGGGAGGGGGGGGGTTGTGTTTTATTTTTTTTAACTGTCCTTTTTGAAAATAGGAAAATAAATTTTAGGACACAGAGTCTCTCTTTTTCTGCAGCCTCTGTTCTGAATGAATGGAAAGCACTCAGTACAGAAGCTTCCCATTCATTCACAAACTGGTGATAGTAAATATTTTGCTATCATCCAGTTATTATGTAAAGCAGTTCCTTTTCATTCATAACTGGGGACACACAGTACTATGTGTTCCCTGCCAGCCATTTCTCCCGGATCCCTGCTACCTCAGCCCATACAGGCGGGGAGAGCAGCAGAGATCTAAGGAGAAATAGATCCCAGCCTGGATCGGCTCCAGGCGGGGAGTAGAGGTTGTAGATGACGGTAGCTGCGGTGCCGGCGGGGGATTTTTTAGTTAATAGCTGTCATCAGCTGCTTTTTATTATTTTACAGAGGACTGTCAGGGGGTCGCTAAAGCGACCATGAGCTTACATCAGAATGGCAAATGCCACCGGCGTATGGCATGCTTATGTGGCCAGATGCAAGCACTTGTGTTCTGCCGTATTCCATACGTCGGTGGCAGTGAAAGGGTTAAAGGATATCTAAAAGACAAATTTAATATGTTGCAGTTTTCCATTCCTTAGACGTGAAGGCTGCATTTGTTTTCATTTTACAGGCTAGGAACATTTTCGCAAGTACAGAAAATACATGTGTATTTTACCAGAAATGCCATGTCCCTGCCACTTGAGTGGACTGAAAGCACAAACAATGTTATCTTCTCTAAACTACTAAACCATCTACCTCCAAGTGATATTGATTTGCCCAGGCACACATTTTAAATGCCAAGAAGGGTATGTATATATATATTTTTTACATAGAGATGTGTTGAATCTGCATGTTTTAAGTATAGCTACTATAGTACTTCAGGGCTATTCAGCTGTCCTCCAGGAGGTTCCCTGCTAGTTTGCAACAATTTAGAGACAATTCTCCTTATGAAGGCATTTAGGAATGAAAAATCTACTAGGATAATAAATCTGTCAATATATGCACTAGAAATCAGGGATGCCACAGTTTAAAAGATGCTGATGATGAGACCAAATTGAATAATGTCCCCCATAATAGTGAAATAAAATACATAGGTCTGTACTTACAGAAACTACAATGGGTCATTACAGCAAGTACACAGCACTTCTATAAACACCATAAACTAGAAAAACATAATTTCTATTATTTAAAAAATACACAAAGGTGTGATTGTAGCTTTCTAAAAAAACAAACAGACCACAAAATAAAGATAAACGTATTTGTCAAAATCAATCAGATTCTGAAATTCAGTTTAACTGACATAGGAAAGCTTGTGTTGGAAATAATCCTCAGTATTGTGATATTGGAGCTACAGTCAGACTGCGCTCATGGGACAATGATGTACACCCACTAGAGTGTGGTTTAAGTGGAAGCGACAGCTCCAACACGTCTGGGGAAAGCCATCGCACATGGCTAAGGACAGAACGAGGAGGTATTGATTGAAGCATGGGGAGGCTATATTCTTGTACATAAACAGAGGAAGGTGCAGATATTTGTGTCTAATAACTCCAAGTCAATGTTCATATTGATTGCCAAACTCCCAACACTGGTCACTGCCATTAATATGCTATTTAAAAAGGAGCTAGACACAAGTGACTTATTGAACTGTTGTAATAGAGACAGGCATGCTTTTAGCAGAGGTGACTAGGCTTTTTTGGCAGGCGTTCTAACTACCCAACATGAGCAGAATGTGAACAGAGAGAAAAAGTTAACAAAAATTGTTCCAAATTTTTTTTTTAACTTAACCTTCTGTTTCAGTTTACTACAATTTTTTTTTTCTTGTCAATAATTTATCTGCATTACAAGCAATACAGAGCAGATCTAGCATCGGATTTACCTAGTATAGGTAAAGAATATTTGTGACATTGTTCTATGTTCCTTGAAAATTTGGAGCTTGATGCATTATTCAATGAATGCTCTACTATATGATAGCAGGGTAATTGAAGAAACAATAGAGCTTGACAGCAAGGGCATGTCATTTAGGTTCTCATGGGCTGTCTGCTCCGTAAACATTTGCGGATGCCAGTTATACTCTGGACCTGAATGACAGTTCTCTTATGTCATTCTATTTTCAGAGTGACATTACACTATTACTGTAACATTACCACAGACTTAAAATGTACCTTTAGTATAGTTATCCTTTAGAATAGGAGTCACACCATTTCCCCATGTAATGTCTGCCAGCCAGGCTCTACTTTTTTCTCTGTCAATTCCTACGGAAAGGCCATCAACTATCGACAACCTTTCCATAGGAATGAATGAAGATTCTTTCTGTGTGAAAAAAATCACCCCACAGCCTAGATACCCTCACATACCAGTAAGTTCGCTGTTATTTTTCAGGAGGATTTTCAGAGTACTGTTTAGGCACAATTACCATTTTTAAATGTTCTCTATTAACGCCGGTGGCAGCGGACCTCTCTAAGTAGACTCCCAGCTACTGTTGCAGCCAGGAGTCTGTTTACATGTGCAAAGTAGACTGCTGGTTTTACATTGGAAATGATGCGGGCAGCTGTACAGTCACCCGAACACTTCTACGGTCTCTGAAATGTGCGACTTTCACCTCCATTGTGTTTCCCGCGCTCCTCCTGCGGGCTTGGGATTGGCATTTCTGGTGTCTGGAGGGAGAGCAGTGGATATCCAGTTCATCCATTCCATGAACCCAGAAGCAACGATGATTTTGACACTTCCAGTTTCTGAGCATTCATTTCCCACTGATCAAGCACAATCTGTAAAGGTGACATTAGGGATAAAGAAAGTTTTAAAGTCCCCTCTACCCCATACACGCACAT